ACCTCCCCAAGGCTGTGGTGGAGTCCTCATCACTGGAGGTTTTCAAGATGTGAGAGGACATCTACCAGATAATCTCATCCAGGCTTCCTTTCCCACAAAAGCGTGCACTAGATGATCTTTCGAGGTCCCTTCCAACCTGGGCCGTTCTATGATTCTGGACCAGCAGACTTTTGCAGGGGGTCCCATGTGAAAGAAAAAACCATAGCATGAAGAAGTGGTCCCACATGGGAAACTGAATAAGTTAATAATAAAACATAAGACAAAGTTTAAAAGGAACACAGTAAATTCCCAAATGTATGGCAAGGCCTGAGTATTAGAGATCTGGTAGTTTTCAGAGCCTCTATGGACCTACACTCTGAATATTATCTTTTATGACCCCTAAAATTTCACTGATTTCTTTCATTCTTGCCATAAGATCAAATCACTCTGATAACCCAAAAGGCCTAATACAACATTATGTACTTCTGGCAAAAAAAAAAAAAAAAGTTGAAGCTGTTTGGATTTTGAAAATAACATAACTTTAAAGAATTTATTTTTAACATTAAGTTATTCCATAATGATAATGTGTAGACCAGATTAATAACTTCATTTCTGTCCTCTCAGACACCTGTTGCAATCAGAAATAGGTGAGTCAGAATTTGGATGACTAGTAAGTCAGCAGGCACCTCAGGTGATTTTCTAGTTACATCAGTGTGACCAAATTAATTTATTTGTAATACAGACGGTTAAGTATGAGGAGAACTTATACTGAAGTATTATTCATTTTCTGTACCTTATTTACTCAATACTGTGCTTGGAAGTTTAAAACAAATATTTTAGTTCTACACATAATACAGATTCTTTTTATGCCCCTGCATTTATATTATGAATGTATAAAATTTTACTCTTCGGAACAGTGCAATTTTGAGCTTAAATAACTTTTCAACTACTGGACAAAACTGGATCAACCATCTCTCTTCATTTTTTACTACTCAATGAATTCTGCTGGTTTATGCATGACTGACTATCTTCTTTACACTCATTTAAATACAAGTATGGTTCATAGGCAAAATGGAACTATAACACAGGGAACTAAATTCCAGCATGAAGTTGTTTAAAGAAGGTATCTGGAAAATACTTTATTTCCAATATCTTTCCCATTTGGAAATAGGACTTCACCCTGTGTTACTTAATTCCCTTGACAGTTCTCAAGAGTTACCTGTTGTAATCAACCATTGTTGCACTACCTGGTTAGCTCCTGATTTATTTTTCACAGCAAGAATGTGCAAGAGTGAAGCAGAAAGAAGTAAGTGTTAATAAGGAATAAAGTGAAATGAGACAAACATCATTACCAAAAAATCCAGGTACCATAGTAAAATTACATGCAAAATATTAGCTTTTTTTCTAAACAAAGAAATAGTGTCAATTTCTTTCAGGTTCAGCCTTTTTTATTTGAACAGGTCATTACAATCTAAATTTAGCTTACATCTTAACAACTGGTTAGAGAAAAATAAAATTCTATAGTTTACAATACAGGATAAGACATAGGTTCTACTACAGCAATTATTATTAGGAAATAGCAGTAGTTGAAGCTGAGTAAGTAAGAGCCCAGAAGCTTCTCTCAACACCATAATGAAAGAGCAATCAAAGATGATGCTATCTAGAAGAAGAGATAGATAACAAAATGGATAATTTACACAGTCTTCTCTCATAATGCTCCTACAGATCTGATCTGCCAAAACCACTGACTATGGGCAGACAGAGGTAGTGGTTAAGTGCCATAAAGCAGCAATCACCTGGAATGTGTTCAAATAACTGATCTTCTAGAAATCAAAACCCACTACCACAGCCAGTCTGTCAGCAGACAAAAAAAAGAAAAAGAAAAACGAAAACCCAACTAAAACAATGATCAGGTTTCAGCTTTATAGAGGAAGGTGGCATGAACTTCAAAGTTGAATTACACACAGCAGAAGTAAATAAGTCAGTTTTAAAATGACTGGACAAAAAACACATTTAGAAAACGTGCAATACACTTCTATTTGTTCCAGGTTTTGCAGAGATTACCTATCTTACAAGTATCAGAGAGGAAGTTCTGCCAGCAGCAAGTACATAAGAGAAGGGAAGCAAAAAGGAAGGCCATCTAGAAGACCTAAGCTACTCCTCAAGTTAGTTTTCAAGAAAGGGACACTAATGACAGTACAAATTAATAGAAAAGGGCTGTTGTGGAATAGTGGGCTGGAGTTTAGCTGCAACCATGGGATCTTATCTTTGAAGATATTAAGCCGTTTCTCTCAGTCAAAAAAAAAAGGGGGGGGGGGGGGGAGCTGCAAAATACTATGAATAATTAGTGGCTTTGGCTAATAAAGCTAAAACTACTTTTGCAAGTTTTAAAAGTAACAAACAAGAATGATGATCCTTTTTTTTTTCCTTTATCTACCCCTCCCTCCAAGTGACTAGATTAGGAAAAAGAGTTTTCTTCTGCTTTTGCTAACTCAGGAATACACTGCAATTGGGAATAGTCAGTTTACAGGACCTGTGATTCAACTTTGGTAGGGCCCAACTAAAGAGACTATGAATGGAAACACCTTTTCCCTTCAAGGCAATTCATGTATCCATGGTCAGGTACCTCAGTGTATGACAAATGTTCTGCAGAATTTGAAATGGATTGCAGTAAAATAAATTCCATAAAAACTATTCATAAAGTTGCAGTTAAATTGCAATACATGGAAATGAATCCCATAAGCTCCTAGATTTAAATTCCATCTGTTTCACCATCTTCCTCTGAAGGCCAAAATAATTTGACTAAAACCTCGAATCTATTCTTCCATTTCACTTACAGCAATATAACCTAATTGCTATACTATAGTAAGAGCCTAAAAGCAACTCCCAGAGTTGATATAAAACAGATTTCATCCCCTAAAGCAAATTACTTATAAGACTTACAGTAGCACTTTTTTTGAATTAGCAGCATATTGACTAACAGCACTCAATTTAAACTATTTCAACACCATAGTCATAAGCCTTTCATTTTTAAGTTTACAAATTGCCACCTCCTCTCCCCTCCTGAAGGGGGAGTAAGCTTTTCACTGATCAAAAGGTGATCCAATGATGAAGAGAATTTTTTCAATTAGTAAAACTGTTGGTATTAATAGTTTTTCTACAATATGCCCCTGAATGAAAAGGGCAGCTTTGTCAACAAATTACAAATGGACAAATAATCCTAGTCTTACGGAAATACTTAATAAATAGAAACAAAATCCTTGTATATATCACCCAGTGGGCAGGGGTTTTTTTATACACATTGAAAAACTTCCCTCTAAGACACACTATCATAATATATGGGTAGAAATCTCTTACAGGCATCATGCCATCTACAAGAACCCAACTGATCAGGGCAAAATTCTGCCCCAATCTGATCTGTAGCAAAACTGCTCCTATACGAGATTTCAGACACCCAAATCAGGCTAGCTGATGGAAAGGAATATTTCAGAATGCTTACATATTTGTGAATTCACACCAAAAGCCTATAGTCTCCAGAAGTTTCAAAAGAGCACAATAAACGAGGAACTGCTAATTAGTTATAAACTACAATAAAGACTGCAATTAAGACAGCTACTTACGCAAGAGCTGTGTTCATTGCATTTGACAGTTCAAGGAGGTTCAAAATCAAGAATTTCATTGTAAGAACCAACACAAGAGGAAACCTAAAGCAATGGTAGTGCTAAACTTTGACTTCCAAACAAATTCAATCTTACAGTATTACAGAGAAGTTCCAGCCACAGAAGAAATGTAATACTTTTTCCACACTCCATTGACAAGCATATGACAAAACTACACAACTAAAATGTTACTTTTCCTTTCCAAAACTTATAAAGAATCCAACTAGTAACATTTTCCAACTTCTGGATTTAGAAGTTAGTTATGAATGACACACAATGCAGATACAAAACTGAAGTGTGTGAAATAAGAGCCTTTCCTAGAAAATCTGTAATTTGAGCATTTAACTCAGACACAGCATTGTAGGACATAAAGAAATGCCGCCTGGTGTGTTTATAGGACATAAATATAAATGAGTTCAGTCTAATAACAGAAGAAAAACTTAATAACAGCAACTGAGTCACACAAGATTAGGTTTTACTTTCAAAACTTACATTCAAGACTCCTGTGCCAATAGCCATACTCAATTATCCACTAAAAAATTCCTTGAAAAGTAGTGTCGTACCATTCACAATCCAGCAACAGGAACCTATGTCCACTAATGTTATTAACATTGTATTACAATCTAGGGTATTTTTATTAGGGCAGGAACAGCTGTATATTGTAGCAGTACAACCACAGCTTAATCCTTACTGGCAGTTCAAGTGGTTGGGTGTTGATGTTCCTAAGGAAAAAAAAAACCAAACCAAAACAACCACCAAAAAACCCCAACAAAACTCACAAACCACACACGGCCACTATTTGTTCTGCTTAAATTCTAAGGAGTATTTGCTAAAGTCAGAAAGTTTTTAATACGGTGGAGATCAAATATGTGAGAAAGAGCGTGATGCT